AACATTAATGACAACAAACTGAAAATATAGACAAAATAATATAATAATAATAATTAGTAAAAGAACAACGCCGTTCGGTGAGAAGATCTGAATGGAACTTGAAACTTGAATAAATATGTTGGAATTATAAAGAGAAATTAAAGCACTTAGTATAGATTATAATTGGTTAAATATCTGTAAATCCAGCAATCATAAAGAATAAAACTTTTGTGTTGGCATTAACTTATGGCATTTTATTTTGTTTTGACTTTTAGATCCCTAACAAACATATTCAATTTAATGACGATCGTTGTACATACATGATAAATATGAATATAGAACTTTATATACAGATTATACACATACAACTACTTAATTTCTAACCTACACAAAACTTTTTTAAATAACTCATTTTCTTTGTCTTCTTTATTTTTTAACCTAATTACACACTCGTACCCTTTCACCAATTTTTCAGTGTCCTTATCAGTGTCTGCAATTTCATTCTTTAAACTTTTCAGTGTTTTTTCTCCCTCTTGCAACAACTTGCTCTTGAATAATCTTTCCGCGGTGGCGACGACTCAAGGAAGGTGACTGCAGCGACTCTAGAGGGTGTTCCAGCCCCTACAGAGTTACTGGTGGAAAGAAATTTAACATTTCTTCATGTGATACTCTGGTAGGCTACAAAAAAGGAAAAATAACAATCTCTAGAATATTAAAAATACGTAGAATATACAGAATATATTAATTTCTTTCATTTGCAAACTGTGGCGGGTTGTATTGAAATACAAAATTGGAATTCAAATGAAGACTGAATTAAAAAGATCTAGTCGAGAGTTTATTTAAAATAACGCAGATGAAATGATCAGCAAAAATTGAAACACATGACGGTTGATGAACTTTCGGACGAAGAAATTTTGCACTTCCCGGAGCAAAAATAATATTTAAAAAAAAAGATAATTGTATATTTGTTAGTACAGACTAATCCAAAATTGTATATGACGAGCAGAGTAGAAAAAATATGAAACAAGAAAATGTGTAACTTGACCACCGCTAGGAAATTCTGCATCTTTGCGCTTCCCAAACAAACAAATAAAGACCAGGCCTGAACTCAGACCAGACTAGCAACCTTACGGTGCAGTGGGTCGGATCCCCAGTACCGGTCGATAGCGTGGGTGGTGGAGCAGGCCCTGATTACTACTGGAATAGGTCACCCAATATCGCGATGAAGGACAAACAAAATCAAGGTACAAGAATGGAGCAGAGCGCAAGACAAAAAAAAGGATAACCACCGACACCTCGTTCGCAGGGATCTAAACCGATGGCCGCAGGGAAGACCCGGTGGCCTACGTGATCCTGGAAGCAATGGAGATAATCACCAAGGCAACAACGGAGCTCGAACGCAGAATGGTGGAGAATCCAAACACCAAAAAGAAAATTAAAGAAATCGCACAAAGATTGAAAAGGGGAGTTTTAAACTTTAAAAACGCAATCTACAGCGGAGTGGTTCCAAGCGAACAAATGGAATAAATCGATAAATCGAAATCGCATGAATGGGGCAACGAGAAACAAAACGATAGGGGCAAATATTAAGCGAATGGCTTGCACAACTAGATCTAGTTATTCTTGACGATGGAAAGCAACCAATATGGCAAAGGACAAACGAATGTTCCTATAACCGCAGTGGACTTGGGAGGTCATTACACTTAAAACCAAGAAGGAAGGAATCCGAAAAACAGCAAGATGAGAAGAAAGTAAAATTGACGTGGAGAATTTACATTCCCTAATTGTTCAGTCGTGCAGGCTCCTGTCTCCATCATTGAAAAACCCCACCAAGACAGCCTTAGAGGCCTGCAGGAAATGCAAGCTCAGAAGGAAAGAATGCTTGGAAGAAAAACAACGCCTTACCCAACTTAGAGGGAGGACAAGCACTGACGATGACATAGATAGCGCAATAAACTGTTACAGAGGACTGAAAAAAGCTCTGATCAAATTGATCAAAAAGGAAAAGAGCAAGCACTGGAGGAAACTCTTGGATGGTCTAGAGAACAATGTCTGGGGAGACGGGTATCAAATCGTAATGAGATCCCTGAAGGTAGCACCACCGCCAATCGAACTTGACCAGCGAAAGAAGAAATACATTATAGAGGCTACGGGACTAAACCTGAAACATACAGACCAAACATGTCCACCAATCACTGAGACAGAGATCAAAGAAGCAGTTGCATCTTCTCAAAAACTGGAAAAACGCACACCTAGTGTTAATTCCAAAACAGGGAGCTGGCAGGCAGGAAGGGGCAACTTCGCAAATATCCTATACGCCAGTTTGCCTCCTAAGCACACTCAGCAAAAGATATGTGACTAAGCAACAACCAGTTCGGCTTCCGAAAAGGAATATCGGCGATAGGGGCGGTAAGGTATGATCTCCAAGCAGCCGAACGCATAAAACTGGACCAAATAGAAAATGGTGCGCCCTGATTCTCCTCGACGTGAAGAATGCGTTCAATTCAATCCCCTAGAGGAAAATCGTACAGGCTTTGAAAAACATGGCAGAGAGGGCGATCATAAATGGGGCACAACATCCAGGCAGGTGTACTATGACGATTTTCACACCTACAAAAAAAAGTTTTTGTTAGTCGAGGTTTGTTTTGGTTAGTTGAGATTAATCGGGGTTAGTCTTGGTTAGTCCTGGTTATATTTGGTTAGCATTTTTCCATTTTTTTAAAGTCCAGGACTACTCTCGTTGCAATAGGCATCTTATATACTAGAGATGTAGATAGATGTAGAGTTTATGTTGATCAGAAGCAGAAAAACGGGTTTCAGAATCCACTTTGAGAATTTCAATTTTTTCAAACTATCCAAAAATTTTTTTACTTCACTTCCATTAGACAGTAGCCTTGTAGTATACCTCCACAAAATTTCGTAATTTGTCAGAACCCTGTCTTGTCACAGATCAACCAAATTCAACGTAGATTTCGAATAATACACTAATTTCAAACTGTTTTAAATTTAAAAAATTATCAACCCCCCCATTTTTTTTCGAACCACCCCCACTCGAGGGGTATATTTTTTGATATAGATCAAAATTGATCAGATGCACCGTTTTTGAGATATTTACATTTTCCTTTGAACCAAATTTTGTTTTACATGTTCGGATACCACCCAACAAAATAAAACATTTTGTTTTCTTGTCGTTTTTTATTATTGTGTTGTTTTCGTGAAAAAATTAATGAAATTACATTGAAAAAGGCGTAACAAGCGTTGCATATTTAAAACAGTTGATTTTGTATTAATGAACGTTGGAGGGAATAAATTTGTAGATAGTGTCATTAAATTAATTTCCTTTTTTGGTTTGGTGTTTGCAAAGGATGTGTCCATGTCCATACGATCGGTCTCATCATGCTAAAGCATCGCCTCTCAAGACATATATTTAGAGATCGTCGCCTCGAACGGCAGCAAAAGGAAGAGCAGCAGCAGCAACAACTACAATAACCAACAACAAAAAAACAACGAACACATACAGGAAAACAAGGAAATTTCGAAAACAGGAGCAGCAGCAGCAGCAGCACTGCCAACAACTAACTACAAACAACCAACAAAGAAAGTAATATGATGCTTGGGATACAGATAACTGTATTTCATATTAGAAATATCATAAAACATTTATAAATAAATTTTGAGATGTATTTCAAATTTTCCTAATCATAATAAGATTATTACGACTAAAGTACGCCAGGCTCACGAAAACATACCGATGTTTTCTACTTAGAATTAGACATGAAGTACAGAAATCAATGCTGAAGATAAACGTAGTATTTTCCGCGAACTTCATAAAACCATAAACTGGTGAAACAAATTTGAAAACATTTATTACAAAAATGTTCCAATTGATAAGACAAATACTGTTTTGTCAAAAAAGTGTTTTGTCAAATTAATGAAAAAATTATAAGAATTTGCAGAAAAGGATTCTGGATGGGCATTGCATGAAATTTTAGGATTTAAAATTAACATTAATACACATCTGTTAAAATTTGGATATTCTACCTATATTTTCGTTCCGCATTTTATAAAAAAAAACGTGCAATACTAATATTGCTAAATAACGATGAATGCTGTTTTTATGGTAGGTGGTTTCGGCGATATTACATTTTCTATAACAGTAAAAACAAAATAAAAAAGTTTTACCATGTTGTCTCAGTAACTACAATAACCGAGATAAAAGTATTAATTTTCTTATCCTTCCCGTGGAGTGCTAGAGAAAACAAATACTATATTTGCTGTGATGGAAAAACTGAACAAGATGTTCAGCCTATACTATAGAACAATATTTTTGATTAGGAAGTGGATATACTTTATGTTAAAGGAAATGCCAAAGAAACTTTCCTGCGTAACATGTTAAAAACTAATTGCCCTAAAATTGTAAATGTAGATTCGTTGAAATTATGTATGATAGTTCCAATATCTTGTACGTATCACAACGTAGGAATAGATAAAAAAAATTTATGTGTTCCTTAAATAAAGCTACATCTATACATTTTTGGTTGTCTTTCTTTCTTCCTAAATAAAGAAATTTGATACATAATGATCAGAATATCCTTGAGTATAAGTATCATTGTTGTGATAGATTTTTTCATTATAATTTATACCTTCATCTTCTTCAGATAGTTTGCAATAACTGCTATCGATTTGTCGAAGTCATGTCCATAAATTGAGAAGAGGGGGTTGAAATACATATCGATGTTGGAATCTAAAATAAGACTACTATCAAAGTCAGAATTGGTGGTAGAATGACACTTTCCACATACTAGAGCGGTGTATAATTAGATATTTTACAGAAGGGCGTGGAAAAATATTTAAACTCGGGACTCAAATGCCGTTTACCACACTTGTTGCATAGTATACTATTAAAAATATTGCGTCAGAATACAATTCAAAAGGTAACGTTTTGTCGTTAACGGTAGTCTTGACAACCGATACTATTTAGAAACTCATCCTTCAGAATTCAGTTTAAAGGTTATTCCGACAACCAGCTGTATTTGTTTTTCTAAAATTATTTTTTATTTTAACTGTATATTAAATCGGAATGGATGAGAGTGACTTCAGTGACGATATCGATGAGGGCGAAGAACAGGAGGAAATATTAGATCCTAATAATCCAGAGCACGCCTTTGCTATTATAGAAAGAGATTATAATAAGGTCAGTAATGAGCTATAATTTCAAGTAAAGGTTTTTAATTGGGCATAATCAACACTAATACCAAATAACATTTTAGACCGTGACGGAGATTGAACAGAGTGCTGAAACTTCACAATATGCTGATGATTTTACTAAACTTTTCGAAGCCTTCTATCAAACATTCACTAAACAAAGAGAAGCAGAACAGAGGAATTCTTATTATGAAAGAGAAATTGAGACAAAAAATAATCAATTGCAGGTAAAAAAAATCGACCACTAAACAGAATTTATTTCATTATTGCAGATATTCTTTAGGCACAGTCTAGATCAAATAAACTTTTAATAAAAGCCTATGAAGCTTGCCGTTTTCGAGTCTTTTTCTTCCTACAAAGCTTATGTTTTCAGCGAGCGGACTTAAGGGGTCTTAGACCTGTCCAAAAACGTTTTTGCATATCACGAAACATTCGAAAAATGGTATAAAAAATCTCTTTGAATAGCAAAAAATTCTCAAAATTAAAATCGATAGTTAGCGCTCAAAAAACGAAGATTTGGAAGTGTAAGGTTATACAAAAAAACAAATAGATTTAAATAAATAAGAATAAGTGTTCCTATTTTCATAAGCATAGGTCTCTATGTATAGTAGCTCTAGGGTCAGCAACATTTTCAAATCAAATCAATAACTTAACTATCGCATAAACTGAGACATGTACGTAGATATTAAAATGTAACCTGCAAAAAAAATTCTGATATCAAATTATAGAATTTATGATTTTGAATTGATTAATAATATTTATCGTATTTTCGACTTCACATCTTTTCCGATCAATGGTTAGTTTTCCAATCGGTGAGAAATAATTGCAATCCGACATAAAAAATGATTTAAAAGCCGAAAAAGGATTTGTTTTTTTATTGGGTCGTCTATGCGCATAGGAAAGGAGTCAGAGACTAACCAAAATTGTTAATAGAAATTGTTAAGAATATCTTTTAAATTTGTATCTCATTCATAAAGGCATAATTGCCATGTTCTATATAAAAATGCACTTTTCGACACAACGACACAACACTTGTATTCTAGTACTTAATAGGAGAAAGAGCGTTTAAGCGTTTTTTGCATTGAGCAGATTTCCTGAAATTGCAGAAAAATATTTGGTTTCGCCTATTATTATTAGGCGACATCATTTAAAAAGTGCACCTTCTTCTCGATCTGCCCCGGGAACATTAAATGGAGTGACATTGTAAGCGCATTCAGGTCTGTATAGTTCTCTTCTGACTGTACAGAACTAGGTGCGCTTTGGCTCGATACTGGAACTGTTTTCGAACAGTCAGTGAAATGGTAAGAACCCGAACGAACCTCAACTATTTCTTCTTAATTAAAATTAGTTTAATCTAACTTTACCGGTTTAACTGGTTTTTGCCGTACAAATCTATTTTCCCATACTAATTGGGAAGATTTTGTTTAAATAACGTATCTACAAAATCTTCATTTTCTGATGGTGGTGAACTCAAACTTGATGATTCAAGGATATTACTTAAAACCAATAGGTTTATTGGAAAAGCCTTAAAAAACAAATAAACTTAACCTAAGATCTATTCAAAAAATCGAAAAGCATAAAAATGATAATTAAGCCAGGCCAAAAATAATCCAAAAACAGTACTTGCTCTAAAATAGGACCGCATTGGACAGTTCTAAGACAGTTTGCATACAGTTTAGAATTTAGCACGAACACCAAACCCGAACACATGAAATTATTTTATTTTTACTTGAAGCAACAAACGATTCCTTAGTATTCCAAATGCTGAGAATGAATCGCCAGGACAAAACAAGCTATAGGCACCTTAAACAGAAAATATTTAACGTCTATTTTCGCCTTCATTTCATATACATCATCAAACATAGTAAATGTTAAATCAATCATCATAGACCTAACCAAACCGCTTTTCAATTTCAATATTACTTTCAACAGAAAAAAATGAATTTTTTTTATAGGTATAGATATTTTAAATTAATGTTGAAGTGAATTAATTCAAGTGATTTTAGGCCGCCCTAAAACTGGCCGAAGAAGACAAAAAAACAATCGACCAATTAAAAGATGAAATCGACAAGACTTGGAAGTTGGCCGACGCAGCTCACCTTCGCGAACAACTTGCTCAAGAAATCATCGACAATTTGCGCAGCCAAGTTGAAAATCTGAATGCAGAAATTGAATTTAAGAACAAAATGAGTCAAGATACAGACGAGTAGGTTGAGTGTTACCTAAAAATACGTGTAAAATTGTAAGAATAACCAATTCTGTTCGTTTTAGCGGAGTCAATATTGTTTCTTTTATGGTGTTACTTTTATTTAATTGTCGAATCTGTCAATTATAATGCTGAATATATGAATATGAATTAAAATTATTAATTAGAAATAGCCTTGATACGAATACATTAAAAAAAATAAAAAATATTTCCATGAAAAAAATACAAGTTCAACTTCGAACTTTCAAAACTAAACAAACCTCAATTAAATGCTAACCGAATTCCTGAATGTGAATTGCCCAAAAACTTTCTAAAAATCCTTGTAGTTTATCTTTTTTTTTTTAATCATTTGAATATCTTTTAGAGGTCCGTTGCCGCCTGAAATATATCTGAAACACATCCGATAATCACCTTATATTACTAAACACAACCTCTCTAGTCATCTATTAACTCCATAAAGTTGGCTTGAATAGTTTCAGAGGGTTTATAATTAATTGACTAATCTATGCTTTGTCAAACAAGCGGCTAGTCAGCATAAATTCGTCTATTCAAGGCTGCCAAGTTAAAACGATTATTGACTCTCGACCTTCCTCTGGTCAACAACCTCCGTTGGTGGGTAACCTCTGATCTGACCGATCCCAAGACTCAGGTCCCTTAAAGCTGGCTTGTCATTGAATTTCCTGCTCCAACCTTGCGTCTTATGGTTCTTCTTCTCTAAAAACCTGTCATGCCACAGCACCTAAGTTAAGTGTAGGTTTGAGAAGTTAAAAGGTTACAGTTGAAACTCTACCACTGAAAAGCTATATCCCCCTTGCAGATGTAGGAAATGTTATGGATATACCGGTACGATTGTCATAGTTCTCTGGGCATATGTTTTGCTCTCACTAATATAAATAAACTAAATTAAACAGTATGTTACAAACAAGAATAATATTAACAACTTCAAAAATTAAAAGGAAAAAAATGATTGCCACAATATATTCAAACATCAGGAAATTTTTAAATTTTATACTTCCCACGCTGCTAACGCATCTTGAGGCTACGTTCTTACCGAGAAAGAATAAACATAATGAATTTGAAAATTGGGAGTTTGTTTTTTGTTTATTAAGGCGTACTCATAACTGTTATATATTATTGAGAAGCTTATAAGAAGATAAATTGAACTGAGGTGGCTTTTACTTGATGAAAATCCATTTATCAAAATAAATAAGAACTAAAAGTTCAGATTTTCACGAAATTATATATTTTGACATAACAATTGTTTCGACAACACCGTGTCTTTATCAAATGTTTCATTTCTTGAAAAATACATAGGTTAATCAATATTTCAAAACAGTAGAATTTAGAAAAGCGGTTCAAATAGAGTTTGTTTTTTTTATATACTCGATCGATAGTCAAACAACTGAGATGCAAGGTGTATTTGAAAAATGGATCCCGAAAACTAAAAGTGCGCTTAAAAAATTTTCGCAGCATCTTTTGTTGCGCAAAAAGTCGCTGATGTGCATAAAAACCACAGCTTTCTTTATTTGCTAATAATATCAATAACAACCAAAATTGGACAAACTGAATATGCATGTTGTTGATGCATTTTTGTAATTTTTAAGATGTCCGAAAAATGATTTGCATTATTAATAGTCACAAATACAAAAATGGTTTTACGTGCTAAGGTTGTGGAATAAATAAACACATTCGCTCCAGATAACTGGGCCCTGTGTACTGCTTTTTAAATATTTTATTAACACCGGGTGAATATGTAGAACAAATTTTAGTAATTTACAAACATGAAGCAAACTCTATGCATTTGCAGTCTAACACACCTCTCTTCAACAGGGTTGGTGGGTTGAGTAAACACAAGGATGGATTGGAAAGGGAAAGAGACAAATTAGTAAACGAAGTTACACAATTGACAACCAAGTTAACCAATGCGATTAGTTACCAAGAAGAACTGGAGAAAAAGAATTCGGAAGCCGATCTGAGAATTAACGAAATTTCAGGACAACTAGAAGTAATAGGCGATGTCAATGAATACAGCTCCGTTACGTAGTAATATTTTTAGGATCAAACTGATGAAATAAATCGACTAAAGAAAACCAAGGAGAAGTTGGAGGCGGATATATTAGAGATAAAATACAAACTTGAAGATAAAGATGTTTCCATCAACGATCTCGCTAATACTATCCAAGAGCACGTAAAAAAAATTACGAAACTGGAGCAGGACATTAAGGAACAAAAATATGTCAACGAAAAACTCTTAAAAGAAAACGATCTTAACGTAACTAAAGTAGCGAAGCTTCAGGATGAGTATAATAATATGCTATTTGAATTGGAAAAATCCAAGAAACAGTACCACACCAAACTTATAGACGTGAAGGTAAGAAACTTTGTGAATTAAATAGTTATCAAACATTTTTTAGTTTAGAGTTTAGAAGAAGAAATTGTCCGTCTCAAAAACGAAAACGGAAAAGTGAATAAAATTAAAGAAAATCTGGAAAAGCGAATTCAAGTCTTGAATTCCGAGAAAGACGAACTAGTATTAGAAAAGACAAGTATAAGGCAACGGATAGTGGTTTTTGAGAAGGAAATAGACGATTACAAAAGATACGCGGACGAAGACAAAAGGGCGATAGAAATGACGGCGAAAGAGAAAGATGTTCTCAACAAAACCATCCAAAGACAACAAATCGTCGCTGGAGACCAGCTCAAACTGATTCAAATTCAAGAGCAGAGCAAGAAAAAACTCGAAATTGAATTAGACGCTTTTTTCATTGAAACGAATAAACAAAAAAAACACATCCAACAGCTGGAACGAGAAAGAGATAGATTAACTGAAGAAAAAATCGAACTGACCAAAGACGTTGAAGACAAAATGGAAGAAATTAGGTCTAAAAAGGTTAGCAAGAGATTTGAATGTTTGACTTTATGGGTTTAGTGGGGGGGAGGGGGCATAATCGATAAATTAAAGTTTAATGTTACGTCTAGGCCTATATATTTGATCTTAAAAAAAGCATAACGGAACAAGAGAACAAAATAAGACAGCATCAGAACTTGTACGAGGCGATAAGGGCAGATAAAAACGCGATTCAAAAATCTCTACAAGAGTCGACAGCCGAATGTGGTGAGTTAAAAAAGAAACTGAAGATAATCAACCATCAGACAGAACAAATGAAAGAAGATATTGCGATGAAAGATAAACTTTTAATAAAAGACGAAAACATAATACGGAAGATCACTAAAGAGAAGGAAACCTTAAAGTAAAAAATGTTGTTTTAGTGTGCTATATGTGTTATAGGCACCACTGTCATTTTCAGGGTTGAGGTGATGACTGGACTTGACCAAATCAGGTCGCTCAGGCAGGAAATTAAAGATCTCAAAGATGAACACAAAATACTCAGGAAAAATATTCTGGTAACCATTGTTTACCGTTTGCTTTCGTATAGTGATATGCCTGATTGTAGGACCAAGAAAAAATAATAAGAGAACAATCGAAAGATTTGGAACAGATGGTGAGCGAGAGAGATATTTTGGGTTCTCAACTAGTGAGGAGAAACGATGAAATAGCTTTGTTGATCGAAAAAATTAACATTTTACAATCTACACTCTCTAGGGGTATATCTTTAAGATAAATGGTCTGAGAGGTAAAATTTTATTTCCAGGTGAGACGCACTACGATCAAAGACTAGAAGACATCAAACTCCTTAAACTAGAAATCAAAAGAATGAGGCAGGAAAAAAATCTTATGTCAAAATCGATGAATAACGCGATGGACTTAAAACAGGAAATATTTCACCTGGAACGAGATTTAACGAAATCCAGACTCAAATGTAAAGCTCTCGAACAGGAAGTACAAAACCCTTTAAACGTTCACAGGTGGAGAAAATTAGAGGGTTCAGATCCGGAAGTTTTGGATTTATTACAAAAAATAAGACTCTTGCAAAAGTGTGTAGATGATTAGCTCTCAAAATTAGGAAAAATAATTATTTTCCTTAAAGGAGATTGCTTCACCAAACTTCCGAAGCTGTTGAGAGGGAACGACAACTAAAGGAAGCCGAAAGGCTATATCTAAACTTGAGACAAGTGTTAGCCAAGCAACCGGGGCCTGGAATCCAAGAGGAACTCACAAAAACTCAAAGGGCATTGAAGCAAAGAGGAGACAAAATGAAGGTAATCCAAGTCATGTGAATTTAAACGTACGTACTCATGCAATAAATTCACTGTTAGTATGTAACAAATCAATATGATATATGAATTTAATTTAATTGTTTCTTAATCTCTGTTAACGTCAGCCCAATGCTCTAACAGTAATTGCACTTAAATGGTATATATACCTATATTTACTCGGTCCTTTTGATATGAAAGATTCGTAAGATCTATGAGATGAGAAAAGATGTATTTCACCGTCTCCAAAATTAATTGTCTGCATCAGCGTTCTATACGGCTCCAATATCGTAAAGCTTTTACCAAAATCTTTGCAACGTCTGAATTTCGGTATTTGATAATTAATTTCATTTGGTTTAAAATTACTTACTCTACAAAACAAACAATACACTCACGATGTCTAAAGAACGTAAACCCATTTCCCCCAAATTATTGGGGAAACTTAAACTACGGTTTATTAAAACCTATATAATAATAACCATAATTACATTCCTTTTGTTTGCAATTCTTTGGAGTTTTTTATTTGCGATTTTTTTAAACATTACCAAAAAATTATTGGTGTGCAATCTTATTAAATACTTACCTACCTAGGATTTTATAAAACACAATGGTGGTTTTCAGCGGCCTTAGTCTTATTCGTCGGAAGGGACTTTTCAAATGATTCACGGTAAATTTTTTTGACGTATATATATATACTATATATATATGTATATATATATATATATATATATATATATATATATATATATATATATATATATATATATATATATATATATATATATATATATATATATATATATATATATATATATATATATATATATATATATATATAGAGAAAAAGTTCTCTCTGCAGTGGGAGAGTTTACCGCGGCAGAGGCACTCGCGGGTCTAGTGGCGGAATCTTCTGCGCCTCAGGACCAAAGGCCTCTCAGCGACTGCGGGGAATTATAACGCAATGTAAGAAAGCAGCTCACCACCAGGGAGCAGAAGCTCAATTAATTGAACCCGTGCGATTTTTGTTTTTATTTTACCTTTCCAGGTAATTTTTTCGGCAAATTAAGTTCCCATAAATATCTTACTTTTCTTCTTTCCATTTTTAAAATGAATAAAATTATATTTTGACAAGGTGAATCAAGTGATTACGCCATGATATTTTAACCTTAAGGCATATTATACCTTTAACACCTATAATTACTTTACATAAACCAAAATTAAGAATACTACTGCTGCTTGATTCGAACAGCGGTACAACGAGAAAAATACATGCTAGGTATATCGTTTCAGTTGGACGCTGACAATCGCATTCAATGAGCCCCTACATGCAGCCAATCAGCGTCAACCATCTCCAATCATGCACATCTATTAGTCTTTCTGGCTTTTTTAATATAGAGTATCTATCCAATTTTAGATCCCTTTCTGGAGCATTTCGCTTACTCAAGGTATCCCCTGGATTTTTACCTCAAATATTTTTTTGTGAAGAATCCAGTGGCGCTTTCAGAATTGTGCATTGTGAGATGGGGGGGCCACCTACGCTTCATCACCAATACCAATCTTACTCGATTTGGATTTTTTATGAAAATTTTTTGCAAAATGAGATACACAAAAAAAAGTTACGAATCTGTAGCGAAACTTCGTAAGACAATCAATTTAATCAAATCAAAAATGATATGATAATTTTGAAAAGAATTCGTCATTTTTCTAAACATTTTTTTTTTCAAGGTAATTTTATTTATCGAAATTTCTTAATCCGTTGTTTAAAATATCACTTATTAAAACGTCAACAAACAACAACTTGCTTTTCAGGACACATGTTTATATAAACTTTTATATTGAAAAAAACTATATTTTCAGCACAGTTAAAATGGATTAAGGTTTCGCAATTCTTACCTGAAATCCATTTGATCATGTTGCTTGGTACATTAAAATATCAATGCTTCCTTTATTTTTGTACTAACTTGTGGTGCTTCACAGAATTAAGCTCCCATTTTTTAAATGCGCTCTTCAATTTTGAAGACATGCCTGGTTTTTGGCATGAAATAAAATACAGTAATTGATAGTAGACCAAATAATAATTGTATAAAATTCAATTGATTCTCAAAAAAACACAAAATAATAATTGTATAAAATTCAATTGATTCTCAAAAAAACACAAAATTAGGTAGGGGAAGCTACTGAAGCTGAATTCAAGGGCACTTTTTTTATAAATGATAATTGAGTAAAGAGGTAATCATGAATAACTAACAGTGATAGTATATTTGTTAATATTCGTACCATTTGGATAAAAAAAAAGTGTTGTTTTTTAAAATTGTTTTGTGTAGATATAACTACTACTTGATGATGATAGAAATTGAAGATATCTTATTTCTCAATCTAGACCTCGATGTGGGGGCACACATGAGATGGATGTGATCTGCTACACAGCAGGATTTCAGCAGGGCACAAACAAAAGAAAGATCAATCCTTATAATGTACTCGCAGCTCATCACTGGATAAATAAATATTATAACATGACACGCAGGTGGTAGAGGGTTTGACAGGCACCTAATTTAGAACATCCACGCCGGTCCAAACTCAGAATTTGCAACCTCGACTATTGTCAGGCATTAACTTTCAGGATAATTCTAAATACCCCTGCGCTGCAACAGAGAGTTGATTATTTTCGAACCTTACTTTCCATTGTTTCCCGTCAACAAAGCCGACAGTGGGAAATATAATCCTTGCCCTTGAAGATGTGTTGCCCAAAATTTATAATTATTGTCTTAAATATGATGGTTATGATTGTTTTGGTTGCGCAAAATATTTTTAAAAACTCATCAACAAAGCTTTGTATACTCAAAAGGTCAGTTATGAAATACCTGTCATCTAAAATTTGCCATGTTGCCGGATAATTTATGCCGGCCCTTATTTCCAAATCCACAGTTAACTAGTCCGAGATCAAAACCGTTTATTTTTATTAATAATCTCGCATAGCAAAGGGAATTATCTTTTTTTTTCTAATATTTCGAAAAATTTCTATCTGTGATTTGTAAAAAGAACGTAAAATGGTAATTAATAATTTTCATTATTTGCAGTGTCTGGTCTCAGAGATGAATATGACCGAATTAAAATTAATGGAATACAAATCCGATCTGGAAAAGGCGAATGAAGAATTGGGGGAATTAAAAAAAAAGTATTTGCAAGAGAAAAAAGAAAACAACGCACGCTTATTGGCTGGAGATTCTAGGCGGGAAATCGACCGTCATCTAGCACAGACCAGCGAAGTGCGTTTTACTGGTGGTGGCTTTAGAATGTCGGTTCAAGAATCTTACAAATAAGTGAAAATGTAATTGAAATCATTTGATACATATTTTTATTGGCGAAGTTTATATATATATATATTGAAGATCGTGACTATTTGGAATATAAAATTCAACGAATCAAGAAGTTTTAAGTGTTTTTTTTTTATATTCCTAATCTAAAAGCAAGGGACTTTTCAAAATGTCAAAGGTCTTGGAAGTATGCGTTGATAGTTTGGAGTCAGCTCTTACTGCAATGAACAGCGGTGCTGATAGAATCGAATTATGCTCGTCGTTAATTCAAGCGGGTCTCACTCCAACTCCTGGTATGCTAGTCCAGATTCAAAACTTGAATTCCAAAAAGGTGCCAATATTTTGCATGCTTCGTTGTCGTCCAGGAAATTTCATTTACAAAACAGAAGAAGTTGAAATAATGAAAGAAGACGCAAAAATTTTAAGGCGTAATGGAGCAGATGGATTTGTATTTGGAGCATTGGCTGAGAATGGAGATGTAGATATGAAAGTTTGTCGAGAAATTATTAAAGCATGTCATCCACTACCTGTAACTTTTCATCGAGCGTTTGATTTTTGTAGACGACCCACCATTGAAGTTGAAGTGATTATTGACTTAGGATTTGAACGTATTTTAACTAGCGGTAAGCAGAAAAGTGCACAAATGGGAGTGAAATTGATAAAGAAATTAATGGATCAAGTTGAAAATAGAATTATTATAATGCCTGGTGGTGGAATAGACAAGGATAACTTAAAATTTATTTTGGAAAATACAGATGCAAAAGAAATTCATGGATCTTTTAAGAAAGTAAAAGAACAAAGCATCAATGCTGAAGAGACAGAGACTCTACTGGAGGAGAAAGATGTTCATATATATGTTACAGATGGGGATATTGTCGCAGAAATATCAAATTTATTGAAGACTGTGTAAAGTGAAAACATTGTTTTAAATAGATCTCTCTTAATGTTATGCATTAATGTAAATAGTTGAATTCTCTATGTTCTAAATTAAAATTCACTGTATGTCGACATATAAAATGAGTTTCAACAACAGTATTTGCTTCATTTTGAATTTCAAATTGCAACACCTATTTTATAAGTATAGACAATAAAACTCTAAATTATATTTTATTTGACAAAAATGAAAAAAAATATATCAAATTTCTCAACATCAATTTGGTTGAGGAACTTTTCGAATATATTGCTTGCCCGATGGTAATTGAACTATGGTCAATGATGGGAACGAAGATTTCAATTCTTCTGCAGACACAGATGGTTGAACCATTACATCATCACCATTCTAAAATTATATATTTGGAAATAAATTTTATTGAAATATTTTCGCAGGGTATTACCTTCCACCCTTCTGGGGTGGCCACTTTATGTTTATCACATAATTGTAAAGAATCAAGAACTCTTAAAACTTCTCTACAATTGAAATTTGGTTAGTCCCATCAATAAAGAAAAGTTGACAAATTTCTTACTCGAAACTTCTACCTGTAGTTGCTGGATATAAAATGGAGAGCCTCATTTTTTTTTTTGGATCAATAATAAAAACAGCTCGTGCAGTCAAAGGTAGTCCCTGAGCATCTTTTTCATCAGGATCAATCATTTGCAATTCTATAGCAATGTCTCTATTTTCATCATCAATTATGGGATAAGGAAATCCTTCTTGTAACGTGCCAGCATATACTTTAATATCATTTAACCATTTCAAATGAGTTTCTTTGGAATCGCATGATAAAGCAATCAGTTTACAATTACGTTTGGAGAACTCCTCATGTAGTTGAACCAAGCGAGCTAACTCTGTGGTACAGACTGGGGTAAAATCAGCAGGATGAGAAAATAAAATTGCCCAACTAGAAAAATATGCATTAGCTTTTTATCAAACTTATCCATTGACCTTACGAATCTCCAATCCAGTCATTTAAGTACATCTCTCCGACAGTTGTTTTTATAAAAAAATTTGGAAATGTGTCTCCTAGTTTAACCATACCGCCAGAGATTTTTCAACACAAGACTTTATGCCAAAAGGTTAGAATCAACAATTGAAAAACGTATTTTTAAATTCAAATTTAGAATGTTTCTGTGTTGCCACTACACAACTACAGAATATAAAACAAAAAAATTCTTTATAATATGCTTGCTTATTTTACATTGGCCGCCTTATGAAGACTATTTTGATGGAACATTACTAGACATTTTGGGGAAGCGCGTAGGAATTTGTTGAAAATTTTGTTTGGCAGGTTATCAATTTAAAATCTTTTCAGTGTAGTGTGAATGCTTTTGTATTCAAAGAGGCAATAAATTCGATTTTTTTATATTATTTAATTTTCCGCTAAAACAAAAAATTACTCAATTGAAGACCTCATACACGCAGATCCGGAAACCTTTTCTGACAAAATAAATATCCAAAAAATATGGTTGACTATATTGAACTACGTTCATTCATTTTGCTGAATTCCAAAAATATGTTCAGACCCTATTGTGGGGGGATACGAATGTCATAGTCAATGTAAAAAAAAATGTCATAGTCCCCTGAGCCACATCGGTATTTACAAGCTAGTATAGGAATATGGACCTAGATTATCATATATTATTATCATTATATGCATATCCTGATATATCTACTATTTACATATATACATATACTGGATATATAGGGTGTTTCAACATGATAAACCATCGCTCAGCTACAGATCCATCATCTAAAAAAAAGAAAAAATGTACATAAGTAGGAAGGGCACTAAATAGTTTGCTTGATTGCAATGTTAAATACGTTCTACCCGATTTTGTTGAAATTTGGCAACTTCATTTATGAAGGTAAAGGGCTAATTGTGCTTTAAGCAAATGGAAAGGTCTTGTGCGATAGCGGAGGGTAGTTTTTTTTTTAAATAGGTTTAAAGTGCTATGTGGGGCTGAAGTTTAATTGTTTTTGATATTAAGTTATGTGTTAACCCAAATGAAAAATTTGTCATCTTCGGCACTTTGATATGGGCGAATGATTCTAGTAATCTTGCTCACAATCAATTGTAAAAAACATTATTTAATTGACTTCAATTCAATTATTCTCTGGGTGACAGATGACACATGATAGAAAGCATTGGCGTAAACAAGGAAGAAGTTTGATTACCGTAGGTAGTTTTTTTTCGTAAATTTCTACAACGGTGTTTTGCTTTGTTTTTAACACGCACTACGGAATAGAAATTAAGGCCAAATCCTTAATTTCTGCAACTAGTCGATCCACAATTGAGATATTAAAACGCAATATATTTAGAAAGAGTAAAAAGAATTTCCAACATGGTTTCTCTGGCTGATTAATAATTAAATTTCGCCTTGCAAAAATGGACATGTTTGCAACGTATGATTTTTAAGTTCTTAGAGAATATCAGCGGAAGAAAATGGATTCCATACGCAAATGGTTATATAAGCCTAAAGTAAGTCTACCATTAGAATACTTTTATTTCACTTTAACCTGCCAATATTTTACTGGTGGTAAACAAATTTACAATAAATTTTCAGAGAGATGATAAATCTTTATTGGCTCAATTTTTTTATGCGGATGAAGACTTGAATGGCGTAGCCAATGAACTAGATAGTTTCGATGGAAGGAAAGATCCTGAACGCTGTACAACATTGGTAAATCGGTTGCGGCAGGCGCAAGATAAAGTTTTAACCATAACTAATGCCATCATGGATGTATTAATAGGAGATGAAAGAGCTAATAGAGATTTCCGAGTTAAGTTTCCTGAAGATGTGCTTCAGGATAATCTAGCTGGGCAATTATGGTTTGGAGCAGAGGTAAATTTCCAAAAGACTTTCTTCCTTGGCAAAATGATGTAAAAGGTAACCTGTAAATGTTAGAAAATTTTTTTCTTTGTTTGGATGTAGCAGCTCTGTTTCAAGCTTTTACAAATCTATTGCCAATATCATTTGGGTACTACAAAGGTATAGAAAGCAAATAATTTAAAACTACAATAAAGGTATTGTGAACTCTTATTTCATTTTAAATATGCTATTATTCCAAAATACATATGTTTGCTTGTACTCTTATTGTTATAGCAGGAAAGAAATTCCTTCACACACACAGTTGCATCATTCAGAATATGAATTTATCAATTCGTACCACAGTTTAATGTTTTTAAATAGATTAGTTGTAGCAAACTTTTGTTGACTCATTTTTTGCTTGTAGTGCCTAGCAGCAGGTTCTTCTATAATGAACCGCGAAGTAGAAAGTATAGCCATGCGTCCATTGGCTAAAGCTGTAACAAAGAGCTTAGAAAATGTCAGGAATCTTCTCAGAGATTCTTGCCTCAAAAACAACATTCCAAATGGTCCTCTGCGACTAGACTCTAATGAGTTATTCACGGAGATGTTACTGGAAAGTTTAAAAATTTTTGATAGGCTTTTTGCAGATTTTGAACTCGCTTATGTAAGCGCCATGGTTCCTGTAAAATCGACCCAGGAATATGAACTGCAAGAACTTATCGGGGTTCTTTTCTCAGAAACATTACAAAGAGCCTTAAAAATGAAGTTGCTTACACAAGAGATGGTGGACGATTGTGATCCAGCCCTCATGTTTACTATTCCTCGACTCGCGATAGTGAGTGGCCTTTTAATATTTCCAAATGGACCATTGTGTATTGACAAACCTGTAGATGAAATGAGCGAGATGTTCCGACCTTTTAGGACTCTGTTGCATAAAATTCGGGAACTGATGTGGATACTAAATAAACGTGAACTCTACATGTTAGAAAAGCTGTTATGTGATAATGAAGAAGTTACTAATGTTAAGTTGGTTTGTGATGTTAATGTACATAGTGATATAGACGATTTTATTGCTGAATATTACGATTTGCCTTTTAATAAAGATTGGTTGCCAACACAGTCACCAAAAGAACCAAAAGAAGCACTTAAAATGCAATCTGGAGATAAACTTTCACAAAACAATATAGCTCTATGTGCATTAGACATTCCATCAGATGGGCCTTCAACATCAGGATATTTGATACCAAAAAGTGTGGTTAGGAATACAATAATTGCTTCTGTGTCTCCAAATCCAAATAATAATTTAGTATGTGTTGATTCTCCACCTGATCATGATTCCTTAGAAATTATATCAGTTGCTGCAGCAACTTTGTCATCAATTCTAAATACTAGCGAAAGCCATGAAAGCAGAAAGTTTAGCAATGAAGTAGAATCTCCTAACGATTCAGGTATCTGTACAGAAACAACTAGTTTAGATCGGTCGCCCACTCTTGATCCAACGGATGGAAAAAATAACAGTTTCGCAAGACGAAGCAGAGGGAATATAGTTTCAGAATCCTGCAAAACCAAAAAAACCGTCCCAATACAGCGCAACGAAAAATTGTTGAGTGCTGTTGATGAATATGCCTATTCTAGCAGTTCAGAAACTTCTTCTTTTAATAGCGCTTATGCTGATGATGAAGAAATAGCTATGGCTGTGAGAGCGGCCGAAATAGCAAACAGAGAAGAGCTAAGAGCTAAGTATAGGTAAGTTTTTTCGACTTTTAAAATTTTAAGCACATAGTATGTCTGTATAAGATGTTTTTGCATTTGTCAGGACCCTTGGAAGGAAAATTTAAACAAAAGAAAATTTAGTAATTTGTTTAGAGCAGCCATGCATTAATGAACTTTGGATCTTCATTTTCTACCTTCAAACAGATAAATAAACTTACAAATAAGCACACAAAGTTTCAATTTTATATTAGTATCACTATGGTTCCTTTAATGGTGGCAATAACTTTCGTAAGTGCATCAGTATACCATTCTCTAACTTGTCCAACTTCATTAGAACAGTTATCGCAGAGGCTGTCATGAGATTTTAGGCAAGAATGATGATCTTGCTGCATTTAAATAGCAATGCTCATGGACATAATTTGTTTAGGGTCATTACACATCTGACTGATGGTTAGTCCTGTTCTTCTGTACTGTTTGTATGCTGTCCAAGCGTTAGCTACATTCGAAACAGTTTTAAAGGTGTATCTGAAGTCTACTGAACAATGTGTGGTTGTCGCTTTGTGCGTTAAAAGATTAATAGACCGAAGAATAATGTGTGTCGGGAGTCGTGTTTCTTGAACGTAACTCAATATTATACTTAAATGGTGTGGTTACATAACTCGATTCGCGATTTCGTGTTTTTATTCACATTTTTGACATATACTATAAGCTTTTACCTCAACATAACGCTAAATTCTATTGAGTGCAGGATGCTTTAGTTTAATAGCATATTAAATTTAACTTTGAATTTGAAATAAACAAGAAAATAGACATCATAATAACATTTGTGATAGAATTCATAACACTTAACACGTTCCGCTGCCAGTAAAAATTTGACGAACATCCCTTAAAATCGAAAAACTTTTTGGTGATAAAAGATTCAAAAAGACTCTTTAAAAATATGTCGTTATATTTTTAGATGTCGGCTTGACAGATTTCAACGACATTTTGACATGCCACAAGGGTTGCGTGATTGGCCTGACGCAAAAGTTTTGCCCTTGAAAACCGTTAACACAAAATCACACAGAAACTTTTTTTTAACTTCTGTGATAAATTTTTATTATTTATTACATGCATATATGGTGATATAAACTAAAAACTAAAGTGGCAGAATAAAAAAAATAAAACCAAGCTTAAAAATTAATACAAAGGAATGTCAACATTTTAAAAGTTAGAAGATTTTCTTTTATTGAAAGAATTTGTCTCGTTTGCTTAAAAATATATACTACTAGGCTTTTGATTTTCTAACTAGTGTTTGAATATGAATATCCTATTTCAGATGGCTGTCTAATATTAATCCAAGATATTTGACAGTGTTTTTATTTCTATTTGCCACAATTCAGATCTCTGTGTCAGGTAAATATGTGATTCTTTTATTTTAGATCCAGCGAAGACCTGATCCATCGCCTTTTTGTATGCATTGCTGGTGTCGCCGACCAGTTGCAAACCAATTTCGCTTGCGATCTTCGCAATATTCTGCGTTCAGTTTTTCTAATAAACGCATCAGATTCTTTTTCGGTGGAACCTACAAAATCGCTTGAAACTTCGTCCTTGGAAGCATCTATAGAATACCATCCATCAGAAGATGAGATTATTGAAAATGAATTTTCAGTCGATCCGAATATTTTGGCTCAAGAAGCTTTGTTCGACACCAATGTATATTTCCACCTCGAGACTGATGGATATCCAACTGATTACACAAATCATCCAAGACACCAAGAACTGAATGAAAGGAATTTGAATTCGTTATCTTCTGAACTTAACCGATATGCTTCCCTGCAAGAGGATATTGCGCAGTTGCATACGTCCAGCCCTAATACATCAGATCCAACTTACTTTGAACGACCTCCTATTTGGATACCTGACGTGGAGGCACCAGAATGTATGAGCTGCGGCACAAATTTTACTGTGATGAAAAGGCGGCACCACTGTCGAAATTGTGGTAAGGTGTTCTGTGCAAAATGTTCATCGAACAGTATACCCCTGCCTAAGTTTGGCATCGTTAAACCTGTTAGGGTATGTAACAAGTGTTTCATTTACAATTTAACTCCCTTCACTATGAACAATAGAGTTGAATAGTGTTTGGAAGGTTGATTTGGGCTTATGTACTTAACGGCATTGAGATTATTATGGGTTTTAAGAATTTAATTTTAAGGACGAATCTGTTGCCTTTCCTGACTTTTTTAGTTGTGCCTGTGTTTTTATTTAGTTAACAAGCTTAATTACATTCCACGGTTATATACATTTAACAAATATACAGGACTTTTTTGAATTATGAAAGTTCATGCTTACAATCAGTTATTTGACGCATTGCTTTACAATGATGTTGCAAGTTGTACAATTTTTGACTTAACTATTTAAGACTAATACTCGGTGCAATTTGTTGCTCATTTTATGTTGTTCTGGAAACATTAATCAATTGTTTTCCTAAATTGGTTGTGAAAATTTCTATACACTGCATTAAAATTTTCACTTGCAAAACTCAAACCTTATTCAACTAATAACATCAGATATTCGGACAATGATTCCAAAATCACTTTTAAAAGTTTTACCTCCCAAATTTGCAAGGAAATACAAGCTACTAAATTGTTGTGTTATAGAATATTAAAAATACAAAAATTACTTATAAAAATTTAGTATAATGTATGATACCAGGTTGCCCTTTTGAAAGATTGTTTTAATTGAAGGTTTCAAATCAGTATTTTCATATTTTCTAACGGGACACTTGTGTCGTCAATCTGTTTTTCAAATTGTATGTTATACTCAACTGACTAGAACTGCAACTGCAACAAATTTAAAAATTTAGTTACACAAAATTCTGCCATCTAATATCAAAATATTTATTTGCCATAAAAACTGTGGAATTTTAAAAATTGGCTGTATTTTTATTTTATTATATTAAGATATTGAGAACATTAAAAGCCGAATCGGCTACATAAACGGTACGTAGCCTGGCAGACTTCCTTTCACCCTTGTGACTCATGCTACTGATAGCTCACTCATATAAAAATAATTTATTAAAGACCAAATTAATTATGTTATATTAAACCAAATAAATTAAGTTTTAACAGTCAGTTGTGCCTATAAAAAGTTGTATTAAAGTAATTTGCGAAAATTTGGATTTATCTACTAGTTCATACATTCAAAAGTAATTAACATTCCAAAAGAAACAGTTTTGAAGAAAATTGCAGAATTGGGAGTATATCATTTCGTAACGGACAAAAATGTTTTATTGTGCACAGAAGGGTGTCGTATTGGAGGCTGACTGAGAGTCCGACATTCTAACCTCTGGATACCGTAGAATAGGAACACCACCGAACAAAACCCTGTTGCAACATCTTTTTCCCTTTTAAATGAACATAAGGTTACAAAGTCTTTTAGCTAAGCGGGCTTTTTCTGTTGGCGCAATGAACGTTTATTTGCTGCGGACTGTTATATGGGCGCACTTTGTTCTATTTTCCTTTCCGACACCGAAAATTTCGATTTGTGTAGAAAGCCCTACCCACCAAATACTCTACATTTTGTTATGCCCTGATGGCCTAAACGAATGAAATCCAAAACTTGTTTTTGCAGAGTGGGGGGAATGATTGTACACGTACCTTTAAGTAAGAAATTTTCGTTCATAAAAATATCATGTTTATATTTATAATAAGAAGTCAAATTGGGTGAAAGTTGATGCTTTTCAGGCCAACCCGTAGAGCAGTACTCGATCAATTTTTTACAATTATGATTTTTCCTTTGTCCCTCCGCGATAAGTTTTAAAAATTTGTCTTGAATTGGTAAATTTTTTATTGTCATAGAAACATGTGTCCCAACTTCGCAACTCATCTGGTTCAGTATGCTTCGAAGGATTGCGACTTAACGCAGCAGGCACAGTCAAATCTTTAACCGGTGCATAGAGAACTGTATAAGTATATCGCATTAATCGAATTCTGAAACGCTGTAATCGGGTATTTAGATCGTCTAAATTTTTTTTATGGACAAAATTTGAATTAACGGTTTGTGGTCTGTTTCTAAATATATTTTTGGATGTTCCAAAATATAATCCCTAAATTTATCACACGTCCAAGATAATTCCAAGCATTCTTTTTCAATTTGCGCATAGCGTTCCTCACTCTACGTAAGAGTTCTGGAAGCGTATGCCACAATTTCTTTGTTTTCAGGATCGTCAGTCTGAAAAAGTGCTGCACCTAATCCATATGAACTCTAATCTGAACGGACTATTATTTGTTTATTTGGATCGTAAAAAGCTAAGCATGGTGATTTATTCAGTAAAGATATTTTCTGAAAAGCCTCTTTTTGAATTGATCTCCCTGTGAAGGTTATTTTATTTGTAAGTAACATATTTACAGGAGCTAAAATTTCAGATTTATTTGCAATGCGAAATTGACCGTCCCCAGCCATTTTTCTAATTTACGTTTGCAAGTTGGCTCAGGAAATTTTAAAATCGCGTCCACTCTAGAATGTTCAATTTCTATTCTTTGTTCAGAAGTCCAATGACCGAAAAAATTGATTCTTGAAACCCCAAAGAAACATTTTCTTTTATTTAAGTTACTTAGTTTTGACAAGATGTGTCTCAATATCTTATCGTGTTCTACTATCGTCGATGTTGAACAACCTCTTTTATTATATTAAAATTTTGTTAAATTTCAAGGTGAAATATTCTGGAGCGCAACTAATTTCAAAAGGTAAACAAGGTTTTGCTCCCTCCTTAATTTGAATTTCAATTTCTATATTTTTATTTCTAATAGACAAGTTAGGAAATTCAGAAATTACATCTACTTTTGTTTTCTCATCCGGCAATACCTCTTGAAGACTTGGAGTTGACATGCGATTTCCAACTTTAAACTACCGATTACATGTAAAGATTGATCCGATATGATGTGTTTATTTTTTTTTTTAAGTTTTTCTGTAATAAGATGTACTGGCATTAAAGTCACATCGGTTCCCGAGTCTAGCAAAAACTTAATTTTTATTTGAAGACCCTTTAATTTCGGAATTAGATTAGATTCGTCAGATTCCTTCTTCACTGCATTTCTTTTTGCAAACCTTTGCCCAATGTCCAATCTTCTTACAATGTGAGCTTCTCTTCCGAGCTGGACATTTTTCCCGTGAGTGTCATTTCTTGCCACAGAAAGAGCATACTGTCACTTCTTTGTTCGGTGCCCGTCCAGATGTCTATTCCTTAGAATGTCCTTTGTCGTGAAAACATTTCCGCCTGCTTGGCCTCCAAAATTGCCTTTTCTCAATCTCTCTCAATCTGTCGCTGACATTCTGATCTAAAATATCGTCAACAATTCGATCTCAACCAATGTTTCTGGAAAATGTATTTGCTTAATTTGGGAACAGCAAAATAATGTTTTCTCGCTTCAGTATGTCGGTTTTATCTTTGTTTGGCTTGGTATTAAGCCCAGTTACCGCTGGATACCTTTCAAACCTTCTTTTCCTTGTTGTCCAACCTCGCCGTTCCCGGAAATTGAATTTTTCTGGAGCTTGCATGTGCACAGCTTGCTTTGAGATTGTCGAAGTAACTGCACCGCGATTGGCACCACTACTTTGTATCATGTTACCTCCTTGGTTACCAGTCCTTGCTTGACCACCAACAGCGCCACTTTGATCACCGGCACCTGGTATTTGACCTTCTGTTGTGTGCGTGAGTGGTCCAAAAACGTCGATGTTTTCCTGGTCCACCATCTGCTTACGTCCCCCTCACAACTGTACTGTCTTTTTCACATTTACAGCTGCCACCATGTCGTATTGCAGTCTTTTTATAATAAAAGAGAACTCCACAAGTCCTTTATTTAAACAGCGTCATGAGGTTTAGACTAAAACGCGCGAGATACATGACTGAGAGTCCGACATTTTAACCTCAAGACCGTAGAATAGGAATACCACAGACCACCGAACAAAACCCTGATGTAACGAAGGGTGTGTTTTTTTTGCTTAACGGTCTCTTCAAAGGGCAACCTTGTAGGAGACAGCGTTTTAAGTAAGTCGCTTAACAGCATTTTCATTTATACGTTCTAGGCACTAGAGTATGACATAGTCATATTTCAATTTTTGAAATCCCATATGACATAAATTTTATTGTGTAACATGAACATTTCTGGTCTGAAAGGGCAACTATTTTTTTAATTAAAATCATATTGTATCCTAATATTTTCTGTATATTTTGAGTAGCCTTTTGTGTCTATAGATTGTAAAATTTTAGTAAATTATATTAGAGAAATTATTTTTATAAATTTGTACATTTTCTGATTGAGAAAAATGTCAATATTTCTGGTAAACTATATGTTGACGTAAGTGTACCAAAGTGTAAAATCAAAATTTTCTCTGCCAAATTTTCAAGAGATACAACTGGTTATTTCAATTTTTTGCACATGGTATATATTATTACTTTCTTTAATATCAATTAATAAATAAATGGTATGACTAAATAAATAACCTTTAGTGGAAGTGGTCCTAATATGGAATTATATTCCGAATTTTAATAATTCTTAATTTGGGATATCAAGTATCAAAGTTTTTTCAATTGCTACTGTATTACTTTCCCTTGTGCAGGTTACTAGCTATTATTCCCACCTCGTCTATAAGTTTTACAATCCAAAACGGATCCCTTGTTTATTTGGGGTATATTTATACTAGAATTAAAAATTTAAATATTTAGATTTTTAGTAAATTTTTGTGATTCTTTGAACGTTCAGTCCCTTGCAAATCGGCGGTATGGAATCTGCTTGCCAAATTTAAGAATTCACCCATATCTTCGGTTGTTTTGCGGAAATAGTAATATCAAAGTAGGGACTGAAATATCTTTGTTTTCTTAATTTGATTGTGATTTGATTTTCTTTTTGACTCCACCGACGAAATTAGACGCAAAAAAGCTAACTCTGATATGTTGATATTTTTTGTGCTAAACAATGATATAACTATTACGTAGTAATTTCTTTAATAATGAATTCATTTTACTTTGCCTACATTAGCTTTTGATTAGTTTATTTTAGAAATTTTTTTTTTGTTTAAACCAGACAGTTAATTTTTTTATACTTTCTTATAGAGGGCGATCTATCGTGAGTGTCCTACTAAAAGTAATTGCAGAGTTAACACTGTGGTTGTGGTGCAACGTTTTGGTTTTAGTGGCAGTTTTTGCTTGAAGTATTCAAATGTGCTAGATACACTAAAATTTGCGTGAAATGAAATACAAACAGTTACTTTGCCCATATTCCGGCATTTTATTATATATATTTTTTCATAGAAAAAGTCGTAATATACTACAATGTTTTAGTAAAGGATTTTCATATGTCACTTTCAAGATTACTCACAAACTGAAGAAAACCCCAAGTGAATTGTATATGATTCAATATGTCTTTAGAAAAGGCCATCATATTAAAAATAATAAAGCCACATGTATGGAATAAAAAACAATAAATTTTATGTTTAATTTAAAATTAATTTTCTGTGTAATCTGTCATTTTTTTGGTAAGGTTTAGTACCAACAATAACCTGCCCTACCCTGTACTTATTTCTCCCTTGACGTCGTCTTTATCCCTGTCGACATCCTTTACACTCTAAATACTGCATAACACAATAACTATTAGGTCTTAGGTGTCATATCTTAAGATACCGATAAATAAAATGTTGCTTTCTTGAATCTTAAGAATACCCATCCATCATTGTTTGTGGTACATAAATACTGGGGCTGTTTGTTGAAAATGTATCTTTATATCGTACTGGCTTTATCACGATTTGTTGTTTAATTTACATACATATAATTTATTTAAAAATCTTACGTGGATGGAAAGTGCCTGATTATTAAAGGTGATGATAAAGAAATATTCTAGTTTTATTTTGTTGCTCCGAACGAATATCCTTTATTTTCCAGCTCGTATCATTAATGGTTAGTTTTGGTTAGTTTAGCAACTATGCACTGGCGAAGCATGCACAAAGTGTCGTTAACTTCATTATATATTGCCGCGAGCACTTTCGAGCTTGTCCGCTACTTTAGTCACGGGTTTGGAAGCGATCTGATGTTTTGGGTAAAATTTAGACACCAATGGTATTTTGACGTTTGCTAATTCTGACAGTCACGTCACACATTACTCAGTGCTGTTTTGTTGTTTATTAAACTTGTTGCATAATATACTATTTCCGCTGTACTTTAGTTACATCTAAAATTGGAATATAATACCTATAATTTTCCAAAGACGGATAGTTCTAACTCGGATGAGTCCATTAATGCCTTTTAAATTTACATTATATGTATTAATTAATTAATTATTAACAAAACTTTGATCGAATAAAATAAACACAAACACAAACTGGCAATTTACATTTTGTTAAGTACAAGTGTTACCAGGGTATAACTTAACAATTTAAGTGTTAAATATTGAAATGGAACTTTTGTCACTTAACATTTTTAAAATTTTATAATTTTTGATAGCTGGTTCGGTAACCGAAATTCCACGTTTCTATGACATCATAATGATCCCGTAACAAAAAAGATGCCAGAAAAACATGTAGTTACGTATTTTTTGGGCCCATTTAAGAAATGCGGAACAAAAATCGATGTCATAGGCCAGTTTTACTTCTTGTTCAATAAATTACTAAAAAATAAATTATCTATAAAAAATTATAAGTTTGATAAATGCCACTTTAGTCATTAGTTGGTAGTGATTTGGAATGAGCTCAGCGGAGCTAATTAACTTGATAATAAAACTAAAGAAACTATTACACTTCTGTTATCTTTTGTAGTGTTTTTTGAATCAACATAATTCCAACAAACATGGATATTGCATAGTTCCAGAATGCGAAAAAGCAAGTAGTAGATGATATATCCTAAGAATATGACAACCAAACTATATCGGATTGTGTTAACCAAAGAATTGGTTAACACAATCACAAGCAAACAAAGTAAAACGCTTTGTCTTCTCAAAGTTGCTTTGGAAATGTTTTCGAAAAATACTTTAATAAGTCTGGACTTTAGCAATTTATGAAAATAGCCAATGGACAGACATTAGTTTTCGTCTCTCTCCTTTAGAAACGGGATTTTCCGTATAAAATTGTTCAATTTAGCCTCCCTGTATAGTGTGTCCCACTTTTGATGGTTTTGCAGCGTACATTTTTGCTTTTGTACAATGGTGCTCAAGTTAATTTTGACAGATAACTAAATGTTTTGTAATAAATTATATAATTTACGTAAAAAAATGTGTATTATTACATGACCTAATCATAAAAAAAATTGGGTTACATCAAAACACCGAATTTGCCATCAAACCAAATTTGGAAAAAAGGTAAAAGCCTGTTGATTAATTTTAAGTGTCAAACAAGTCCTTCGAAAGTAAACGCAACAAAATCTTTTGTGTCAAAGTAATATAACCATCCCCGCCAATTATCTCGGAACGTACGCACGGGCATACGCACGCAACGCACTTTATACATCCCTTGTAAATTAAGTAAGAGTGGCAAAGATGAACAAAAGCTTTCAAAATAATTACCGAAAAGAAGAGACCGTCGTTGTAAATAATAAATAATCGACTTGTTAGTTGCTTTGAGATGAGATGAAATGTGGCAGTGGCGTGGTTTCAATTACGTTTTAGACTTTATTTCCGGTCAATAAAAATATTCGTTACAAATTATCAAGATCGTAGTAGTATTTAATGAGCAATTTTTGATTCCCAACCCATGCGAAAGAGGCGTTTTCTTCAGTAATCTCGGTTGCCCACGACATTATTTTCTTAAAAGAGTAGTTAGTAGCGGCATTATGAATTTTATGTACCTAGCAAGTTTTATAGAGTTTAAATTTACTTTCTAAAGGAAAATGAACACTTAATGACATTATTTGACCGCTATGAAACATTAATTGAGACCTTACCCGGCAGAACCTGGTCGATTCCAAATATATCTGGATCATATACCATAGCTAGCTACCATATATATGTAGATATAGATATAGATTCCGTGCGTGCCGTGCGTGCTCTTGAAAATAACGTCGACAGAAGTCGAAAAGGGCCATTCAATGTGCGCTTCATCCAATAAAACTTTGTGGTGTCAACATTCGACATGGTTGTTCATTAATTCGATAGTTTTGAGTTTGGATAATGTAGTCTGAACCAAATAGATTATCATGACCAACGAAATATTTTGTATTGCCTTTTATTTCTACTAAGAAAAGCTTTGGCAATGCTAATGATGTCCTTTTCTTACGAGTCAATTGGCTGCACTAGAGTATCGAATATGTCAACCTGTGAATAAAAGAGATTGCTCGCGTGTGGCAAATATGATTTTTTTCACAATAACTTAAAGAATGAGCTCGCCAAACTTGCCACTGCGGAAAGGTTTTTTTTTCATCGAGGTAAAGTGGGCGTTGCGGAGCGACGATGTAAATATAAATATTACAATAATTTTTGTCAAAAACTTAGTTCAATGGCATAATGGCCGATTTACATTGTATATCCAGAGGAGTACTTATTCTCTCGACTCTATAAACCAGTGAAAATAAAGTCATTGTTGCAGTTACATAACAGGTTTGTTCTCACAGCTAATTTCGAACATGTGTTTCCAAACTAGCTATATTTTCTTGTTACTGTGATTGATGTGTTGATGTGAAACCAATCACATGCCTGCATAAGACCGCGGTTTATGTTATCGCGGATAATTATTTGTCTGACATCTGGTTTTTATAGCTGTGAGAACAAACCTAATTGTTCGAGATGATGCGACGGGTCGTAAATCCCAATAACAATATGCTTGTTGTCAACACCGGGTATCAAGAAATGTCGTTGAAGAGTGTGGAAAGAAGAAGAAGCAGAAGCCAGGGTGTAATTCTATTGTACGGAAACAGGAAATAGATTAAGATAGCTCTAGCAAATTTATACTAAAGGGAAGGTTGTTAAAATTCCTTTCATCTACTCTCTTCTGTAATAGTATATTATGCAATAAGGCCGGTAATAGTATATTATGTAACAAGTGCAGTAAACGGCACTTGACTCACGAGTTTATTTGACTAGTGACTTAAAAAGTTTACCGAACGTGTTAGTTAAGGTTTTCAAACGACGGGTCTCCTTTTTAAAAACACTTTTTATTGTTTTACAAACAGAGCTACGAGCTTTACATTAAGCCGTTACAAGGAGAATTGAATTCAAAGTATATTGCACACATATCTATATCGCGTCGCAGATACTGGGAATGCTGAAGCTAGCATTTCTTGTAGTCATCAGCATATTCTGTCGCATAATTTTTTGCATCGTATACTTTTTCTACAACCTTTAGTTTTTGGGTACATTTTCGCAAAACAACACGAATACATATTTACTGACATGACCGTCAGAATTTTAGCTAGCATTTCTCCATAGTAGAAAATAACAGGGACGAGGGTTGTTTTCGGAAGACTGGTCGTGCTTGATTTTCTTGGAATCACGCAGTTCTTATAGATTGTTATTGTATTGTATTGTATTGGTATTAAAGGGGGGCGCCCTCGCGGGCGTCCAAGCACTTAGGCCACCAGATGGGCCCGTTGTGCCCCCAGGCCGCTCTAGAGGGCGTCCAGAATGCCGCCCCTCCTGTAGAAGGTCAGCAACTCATTTAGCCCAATACCGTGCACTGAGTCCGGATCGATCAGGGCCGTTCCGAAGACGCCCAATCTTGCCCATGTCAAGGCAGGGCACTCGGTTAACAGATGATACGGGGTCTCCTCCCCTTCCATGCACCACCTACACTGCGGGTCGTCTCCAATGCCTAGCAAGCAAAGATGCCTCCTAAGCCTGCAATGTCCTGTGTAGGCCCCTGTTAGTGCCCTACACTCCCTTCTGGTCAGTCTAAGCAGCTCCCTGGTCCGAGGAAGGGCGGGTCCATCCATTATAAGCCTCGCCTGCCTCATTCCCGGAGCAACTCTCCAGTCCCCCGCGGCCCGGTCTCTCGCCCAGGCTTCGAGAGCTCCCCACCTCACACACGGGGCGATCCCCAAGCGGTGCTCTGGCCCTAGATGCCTATGCGAGGAGCACTCTCTGGCTAAGGCGTCCGCTGCCCATTGCCCCGGATACCGGTGTGACCCGGGACCCAGACCAACGTGACCTTTCTCTCCTCAGCCACCCTCCTCAGTACCCCTTTGCACTCCTTTATCAACAAGGAAGTTCTTATAGATTTTCCATGCTATAACTATTAACAAAATTAAAACAAACATAATTCCCGTTGAAGTGGCGAGACTCCAAGTGAGTATGAATTTCATAATCGATGTCGATTGTGCTTGGCGTAGTTTTTTGATAGTATTGAGCTCAATCGATTGTAGTTGGAGTGGCTGGTACTTTACATTGTGATATTCCATATTTTCAATTTTAATGGATGTCAGTGAGAAAAAGTTCTTCTTTATTCCAAAGCTCAGTATTTTGGGTACTTATACCACAATTATATGGAACATCGATTAGGCGGGCTTCTTCAATAGAAGCTATTTCCTTATTTCGACAATTCATTTGTAATTTCAGTTTCTGTTCCGATGGTATTATCAAAACCGCGTTGAAACATTTACATTGACTACATGGCAATTTTTGTTTTCGGTATATTGAATGAGGGTTGCCATACAATCACCGATGGGCTGGGTAAGTTGATTTTCGCAAACGTAGGTGTCTTCAATGATTGGACAGATTGATTCTTGATATTGTTGCATGTCAGTGCCCAATATTAGGTAAGGTAAATTAGGTACACTTAAGGAGTGATTTAAGGGTACCGGTAATAGGTGGAATATTTCAAAAAATTCTTTAAGAAAATTCGGAACATGGACTGCAAAAATTATTTTATCTTTTGTAAATTTAACTTGTAAGTTTGCTAACTGATAATAATTA